ATATAAGTATAAAAATTAATTGTCAGATTGAAGGAATCTTTTGCGTTATCTAAGATTGCCACATCCTTGAGCGTTTTCCCATTTCTTTAGTCCTATCTTTTGGGTGTTGACTTGGCAACTTTATACTTCACAACTGTTTTTTTCTTTATATACTTTGTTGTACTTAACTCCTATCACACTACAGAAACGCCATTTTCAGAGAGCTGTTAACGAAAAGATTTTATACTCATAATGCACTCCATTAATAATAAATCTGAAGCCTAGTGTTGTTTTTGAAAGACAGACTGTTTCAGCATCACAGATATTTTTATCACTTTTAACACTGAAACCAATGACACCAATGTTTAGAAGTTATCCGCCTTTCATTATTCATTTAGTCATCCCATTTTAATATAAGGTTTTTTTTGTATTTTATCAAGCTAAGTTTAATTTTCACATTTACAGTGCCCAGTCTGTGCCCTATTGAAAACCACTTTAGTAAGTGACTTAAGCCACCTCTTGATGAAAGAACTCTATCATTAATATTATTATTAATTTTAATATTATTATCATAATTATTTTAATTATTACTGTTATGGTGCATGCTTCCGGCACGGCAGGTATGTCCATACCTGAAACTTTAGTCCCATCATCAGGTCGCAACAAGCCGCCTCCAAGGCGTCTTCGGAGGATCCTTGCTAATCCCAGAAACACTGTTCTTTGAATTAAGTGAGGTCAACTCTATCCCAGCATTTATGTTTCATAGGTACTCCTCCTGTCTTTTCGGAATAGTACCCAGTGCTCTGGTAATAACTGGGACACGTTTTACCCTCTTTATCTTCCACAACTCTCATTCTCGTTCAAAAAATAAATTCAGTATCCTTACGTTGGCTATTAAATGTGGTTTTCCATTCATAGTGATTTCTTCGGAATGCGAAAGAGCAATTGCTCCTTCCAACACATCAAATCAGAAAAGAGTCGACGTCCCTTTAGGTGATTTGCTGGTTTTCAGTGTCAGGCTATCGAAAATAAGAATCAAAACCGTTTAATAGATAAAATCCATGGCCCAGTTGTCCGAAGGCCGATTAGCGCTTAACGCTTGATTAAATTTAACCCGGGTTTCTCTTTCTTGTGTTCAAAAGCATTTTCTCGGACAATTTTCTCTGTTGTTTTTAGAGCTTCCAATCATCAACATGTAGACAAAAAGAATTAAAACGGAAATGCTTTTTAAGCTTACAAAACTGAATTCAAATCTCGCGCTAACCCTAGGTTATCAGGTTATCTTAACCCAGCTTTGAACAACTCGGCCCACTCGAAGCTGAGGAATGTAAGGAAGTAAATATACATTTTCGATTGGAAGATGTATTTTCCGTCTAAGCTCATTTAGGCCCTTATGATCCAAAACTTTCAACTTACGAGGACGAATAATTTCTTTCTTACAAGATTTCTAATTTGCAAAAAAGAGAAACGGAAGTTCCTGTAATGCCTAGTGGAAACTCATGCACGGGGATATTGCCACGATGCCAGAATCACTTTGGCTGCGCAGGCAAAAAGGATCAGAGCTCTGGGAACGAGAATAAAAATAGACCATTACGGTATTTTTTTTTTTTTAATTCGTTCATGTGCAGTGCGTTTCGCCGCTCTTTTTGCGAGGAAGTTTCCATTCTCGTCCCCAGAGCCACTCGGCTGAATTTGTAACCGACCAGTGGCTCTGGACCCAACAGAAAATACGAATTTTTTCATTGGCTGAAGGGAGTTGAAAGCGCAGAGCAAATTAAAAATAAATATCATAGGTGACGAATTACTCCTTAATTCTGGCGCGAAATTTCACCGTTAATTTGTAATTTCACATGTGAAATTACAAAATTGCCATGGCAACCCTTCCGTACGTCTCAGTGTCAAGATGGCGACGAGGTTTTTAAAATGCTGTGAATGAACAGGTGAATGAAGATGTCAGGGCACAAAAAGACGCTTTAGAAAACCTGAACACATAAGAGAACATCAAGAAGGATTCTAACAGGTATTTTGCCGAAAAAGTCTGAAAAATTCTGAACTTTATAAGCCAAATTTAAGGTCTAAACATTTGAGAGAGTGGAGTTCTCGATCGATACGATCCTAGGAATCTTGGATTTTTGACATGTTTATCCAACGTAATTCGTCACCCATGATATTAATAGGTAATCAAATGGTATAATTATTAGGATTTGGACAAAACGCGCGTGAAATTATTCCCTAATTTCACTCGTCGCCATTTGATTACACATACTAATCAACTGCTCATAACATTTTATTTCCTGCCCTCTCGAACTGCAAACATGAAATCCGTATCTGATTTACGTGGATAGCGACAATCCTGTTTTGTTAGCAAATGAATGCAACGCAATAGCAGTGAAGAAGAGAATTGAAAGACAAGTTTGAGAAGTTTCAACGAGAACCACGAGCCTTGACAAAGAACGTTTGCCTTCGTTGTGAGTGAATGATTAGCCCTTGCTCACATAGATTAAAAGTTAAAAATCGAACAATCGACCACACTTGTATGGCGTTATTAAATCTAATCAGTCGGTCTAATTTTTCTGGATATTCGTCTGTGCTACAGTAAGAGAGGAAATCAAGCTCAAGGACTACATTATAGAAATGATATGTACGTAATAATAAGTTTATTACAATGTGCTTTTGATTTATTGTTTTTTCTGCTGAAAGTAAATCTCCTTTGCTATATTAATGGTCATGATAATTTTCTGTTACAAGCCTTTATCCAGTAGAACTCTGATGTCAGTACACAAAGCAAGAACTGAATAGCTTATTAATTTTTTGGGCTGCATGCATAAGGCAGTTTTTGTGTATAAAGATGATAGGGCAAGTACTTTTTCCAATCTACATTTTCTTCCGCTGAATTATAATCAATTATTGGATGAGGTTTTTGTGAATAATCAAGGACGAGGTAAGTGTTATCAGCCGAAGCCGAAGGCTGAGGCTGATAACACTAACCGAGACCTTTATTATTCCGGATATCACAAAAACCGAATCTAATAATTGTTTTATTATACATTGTTTTGAAGAAAATAACGACAAACGCATTATCGCAGCGATCACAGTTTATTTTCAAACACTTAAAAATTTACAACTAAGTGATAAACAAATTTTCACCGTCTTTACAAAACAATCAAGTGCAGAAAAGTTAAATGCATTTCTAAAGAAAGTATCATTGAGAAAACTGTCTTCAAATCTTTATCTTCAAGTAATTTCTCAATTTCCTGCTGGGTCGATGAAGCGAATCGAGAAGCCATTCTTACTTCGCTGTCCGCGAACTTGACATTGCTGTCCGTGCGCTTGACATTGCTCTTGGAAATCATGCATTGCGCGTGTAACCTACACATTATTCACTAATCTATATATATATACTCTATAAAGTACCACATTCAGTTTCAATACAGCTGTACTCCCCCCCCCCCCCCCCCCAAAAAAAAACAAAAATCAGTTCAGGTTGGCCCTGCATGCAATATGCTTCTTGCCTTGCCAAAGTTTGACCAAACTATGTGATTTTCCCTATCCTATTTCAGGTCTGATCCAAAATTCTATCCCCAATTTCAAAGCAGGCCTTGCACTCCACTTTCAAAACATGACGAGAGCAGCTACCCAAGAAAATGCTTTTGGGTTGTGTGATACTCAAAGTGTACTTCTAAGGGGATCTTCTAAAGGATACAGTCTATATAAAGTGTATATCACTCTTCATTTCACTGTTCCAGATAAGAAAGTACAGCTAAATAGCTTATGATAACCTGTTCTAGGCATTCAGATAGTGAGAAGTAAACAAGTAAACAAGGAACAATGGCTCCCCTGGTTACAAGCCCTCCCCTAAGCTTCCACTATTTCATTTAGAAGCTTAGTTAAAAACTTAATAAATGGAAAAAGTAGTTTGTTTTGAATCGCTTTTTCTATTCCAGTTATATAGCCCCTCAGAAACAAGCCCCTGCTTTTTCAAAAAACAAACAAACAAACAAACAAAAACCTTAAAACCCCTTACCCCTATGAGGTTTGCTCATGTGTTCTGAACTTCATGGTGATTGGTCACTAGACAATATTCCTGAAAATTTTCACGTGTTCACGATTTTCTCAATTTGACAGCAAAATTATTGAAAACTCTCTCACAGAGGTTTTGATGGATGATGGTATTTAGTTAGGAGATGATAACTGAAATCTTTAGGAGGATAAACCTCTAATAGATAAAGTTCCCCTTTTGCAAAACACTGAATGGTCACCATAAACACCAAATGACTCATTGCCGGATTAGCATAAACGCTATTGGCAATTACCTTGATTAAAGATAAAGAGACCCTCAAGTTTTATGATTAGGGTTAGGAAACTGAGTGAATCAAGTTTCAGGTTGTTATACAGAAAGAACTGAACTGGAATTTGATTCACTCCGTTTTCTAGTCCATGGAAGTGTAAGAGACTTTCTCAGATATCTAGCCCCCTCCAGTAAGCTGTCACTTCTCCTGGACAAAGTTTATACTGTTTTTTACCCTGTTTGGGACTGCAAAATAATTAATACTGATTTGTTTTGACATAAACCTTCTATTGTCTTGACTCAAGTTATACTCAAAAGTTCATGGGCAAAATTAAAACCTACCATTCGACACCTCAAAAGGAAATAAACATAGCAAAAAACACAACTAGATAGAGTGAAACGAATATATATATTTTATTTTCCTGTCCACTTCAATAACACAACACATGAATTGTTTCGTTTCAAAAGACGTTTTGAAATAAGATAGCATTTTCAGGACATGGAACAAGAGATACCTTCGATCTCCGCGATNTCCCCCCCCCCCCCCCCCCCCCCCCCCCCAACCCTGCAATGACACTTCACAGTGCACGAAGCATTCATTCTGCGATACACATATATATAATTTACATATCTGGCTGCTACATTATATTTCGGGCTCAAAACGTTCATGCAACTCCCATTTCAATTTTAGAGAGAGGAAGAAGAAAGAAAAAGAATAGAGGCAGAACCTAAGATGGTAAGTTAACGGGACGGTGTGAGTTGTGAAAAGCATGAAGTTCTTCCATGCCATGCTCGGATTTTTTTTCGTCTCTGGTATTGCGAGAGTTACGTTATCATCATCATCATCATCACCAGTATCATCGCCATCAGTATCATCGCTATCATCATCATCAATATCATTATCATCATCGATATTTCCTAATACGATCTTCATTACCATCATCACCATCATCATCACCATCATCATCAGCAATAGATCACAGATGACATCAGTGTTTGATAAGAACAAAAAAGTGGCACAAGAACCAGCAGCGAGTGTTTCACTGATGTTCTTTATACATTTTGACTTAGCATGTTCGTTTTATACATGAAAAGAAATGAACAACTACAAACTTGCCTACAGACTTTTGAGGATATGTGCCAGTTTAGGCATTTTCCAATTCACAAACGCTACGATTCGTCTCTTCTTCGTCTTTTTTTGTTTATCTTGCTTGTGGACAGTTTCCCTAAAACAGTGATAACAGAAAATGAATGCAACTGTTGCGAAGATTTCGTCCAGTTTCGGCATTTCCAAGATCTTTTATTTCCCGGTTTCTCCGTTTTTCTTGCTTGCAAACAGCTCCTGCTTAACTGCTTAACTCTTTTCGCTTATCCCTCGGCTCCAAGAAGAGCAAAAACAAATGCCTGTGATCTGTTGCAAAATCAAAAAGAAGCATTCAAAGTATGGAGCTTTACTTATACTCGCCTTTGATAAATTACGGTCACATTTCACATTTACATTACTTATTTTTAAACGATTTTGAGCAGACATAACTTATAAAAGGGACAACAAATTCAACAGGAATACACTCAAACTGAATAGTCTGCCGCATAAGGTGCTAGACTTACACATGTTTCCTCCGCGGAATAAATAAATAAACTCTACCAATAACAATATTTCGTCCCGTACATTATAAGAAGCTATGTCAACGAGTATTATGACGCGAACTTGAGGGATCTCGGCTTGATCTCGACTGTTCTTTCCCGGTCGCACGCGGAGCATTTTCCTCTGAAACGTCCTTATTTCTCTTCGCCGAAGCAGGTGTTACTCCAGTTGGCGATCCAAGTTAAGTAGATCTCTTTGCCTGCATTATTACTTCATCTCGGTTTCAAATATTTCGACATAATAAGCTTACACAGACACCCGTGAACTTGACGTGTTGACATTTCAATGACAAGTTAATTAATAAAGGGCGGATCGGCGGCATCAAAGGCATGTTTCCAGGCTCCGCCGCCCTTTTCCCTCCCCAGACTACCTCTCGACTCGCTTCGTTTGCCGACTTTTCTTCTCTTTTTTTGCGGAGCCTGGATGTCTTAGCGGTTTCTGAATACTGGCTTAATTCTTCAGTGAAGAACGCAGAGTTAGAGATCGAAGGCTACAAAATTTCCAGACTGGATAGACAGAAGAATATTGGTGGCGGTGTATGTATACGCACACGTCATTCCTTGAAAACGAAGGTGTTAGAAGACCTACAAGTACAACATAAGGAAATAATTGTTCTTGGTGATTTAAGCTGTGATCTGTTAAAGAGCTGCTGTGAAAGAAACACCCTGAAGGATTTGTGTGACACCTTGAAGCTTAATCAGCTTGTAACTTCACCAACCAGAGTTACGCCGCAATTACCGTTTTTAATTGATGTTATTTTAGCAACAAAAATTAAACACCAGTGTTGTCAAGGAAACTAGAGTGGTTGAGTTTGGGGTTTCTAGTTCAGCACTAGAATGGTTTAAGAGCTACATGCATGATCGCCAGCAGTACGTACGAATTAGCTCTGAAATCTGGTATGCGGAAACCTACACACTGAGTTCCACAGAGATCTATTCTGGGACCGGCCTTATTTAATGTGTGCATCAACGATTTGCCTGGCATCCCAGATTATTGCTCCTTGCCTCGTAGATGATTCCAAATTACAACTATTATTCCCAGTCAAGGCCTCTCAGAGCCCCTATCCCATTATAGTCTATTCTGTGGCCAATTATAGACCCCATCTCAGTCAGTTTNTCCCATTATAGTCTATTCTGTGGCCAATTATAGACCCCATCTCAGTCAGTTTTGGGCAAATATGTAATTTTTGCGATCCCAACTTAGTCACTTTCTATTTATGTATCTACCTTATATTAAATGAAAAACACTCTAGTTTTCACCAACAGTACAAACATTCTGGTACGTTTGCTGACCGCTAATATGAAGAACTGTCTTACCCCAAATATCAGAATATGTGCGACCCCATTTTAGTAACTCTATTGAAAATGCGACTCCATTATAGTCAATCCAGTCTTGAAAATGCAACCCCATCCAGCGGCACATCCCCATTAGCCTCTTATAAGGAAGTACCCTCCCTGGGACACAAACACTTTATTAAATGTTATAAATGCTCTCGTCTTTAGCAAACGCTACTACTGTTCCTCTGTTTTGTCTAAGACAACGAACAAGAATATCAACAAATTACAGCATGTTCAAAACTTCGCAGCGAGGATCATAACCCGTCCGTGTACATATGATCTCATCACTTCTGTTCTTAGAGAACTAAAATAGCTGCCTGTCTCATCCATGCTTGTCTGCCGGGTGGCATACTGGCTTTTCAAGTGCTTAAGGGGATGGGCTCCGGACTATCTGGCCAAAAAAAAATAATAAAGCGAGGTCCTTAAATTCACAACAGAGACACGCGCAACAAGAATAAGATAGACATTCCCAGCTACAGAACTGCCTTAGGTCAAAGGACCTTTCATTATCAGGCCGTTTCACTGTGGAACTCCTTACCCGAAAGGCTCACTAAGATAACAAGCATTGGGGCATTCAAGAAGAAACTTATGCGCTATTTAGAATCGTTTTACTAAGCAGTCTATTTTTAAGACAGGGTTACTTATTATTTTTGTCTTCTTAGGCAATACCTCTGTGCCTACCAAACAATTGCACTTGGGATTCTGAGACAGGTCTGAGGGTTTCATCGGAAGAGGAACGTCGATACCTGTATGTAGTGGAAGACGCCCTTGAACAACTCAGGAAAATAAAAGGTAAATCAGTGGCACAATATCATTAATTAAAACTTCCTATTTGTCAGTTGGGATGATTGATGATGGTAATTGAACCGAGTAAAGTGCAATTTGGTCTGAAATCACACGCATGATTTTAAAATCAGACGAGTGCGAAGTGCGAGTTCAATTTAAAATCACAAGTAATATTTCAGAACAAAATTGCACGACACGAAGTTCAATTACCACTTTATTGCAGCCATTTTGATATCTCTGAATTCAGCCAGTACCAAATTATATTGATCTAGTCCTCGGTTTGTTGAAAAGTGGAAGCAAAAGGGCCGTTTCATCTCATTCTGATGCGACTATAGAGCAAAAATGATGTAATTTAGAACAAAAATGATGCAATTTAGAACAGAAAGACGCAATTTAGAACAGACGTCATTAAGAGCAAAAAATAGTGCGATTCGTGAATAATTATCACACTGCTGAGAACCAATCATGTTGTAGGGATCACCAGTGATTTTAAAATGGAGATGATAAAAGGTAATACTTAAATTAACTAATTAATGAAATTTGTTGCATATATGATTTAAGTTATAGGAAATGAACGATGCACTTTATTACTTTGCGTTAATTTGACGCATCTTAATTTACGTCAATGTTAGTTTATAACTTACTCCGGGAGAAGAGTTCGTTTAAATCACACCATTACATTATTGTTGTTTTACAGCACCTTTATTTCATAACAAAACCTCGGCTGCTCATAGTTCTCAATACCTCGGAGTCACTATCTGGCAGTTCTTCTGTGAGAATTGAGTTCAAAATGTCTTTCGACTGGTCTTTGTATTGATCCGTTTCCCCAAGGGGGTTATACCATAAACTTCTTCAGTCTTTGTAACAATGAGATAACAATAACTGGAAATGCTGCTTTTTTCTCCTTTCGCGATATGTATCTTGAGAAGTTTGTATTGCAGCGAATTCGCGTAAAATAAAGTTAGCCGCACATTGTTTTCGAAAATTTAGCGTTAATTTGATGTATGTAAACCTAATTTTAAACAGTATTTGTGAGAAGTTTTTGACGGATAAGTTGAAGCTTACAAATGCTTTTTGCTGGAGGTGTGAATGCGTCAATATGGTCAGAAGACGTTCAACAGAAGCATTCTCTGCGAATATTTTTTACGTTGTCTACAAGCATTTGCAACCTGTTTTCTGGAGATGAATGAAGTATACTGGGAACTAAGTTTGATCTTTATGGTATTGAGTTATGTCTACATAAAAGCGATTTTTATGTGGCCTCGCGGTTGCTCTTGAGAAGACAATCGTTTCTTTCGTACGTATAGCAGTACATCGAAAACAAGATAGCGGAAGATTGTTGTTAGGACCCAATACGAAAACGTCGGTACGATCATTTTTCATTAAACAATTATCCTATATGCATTTAATTGTTCTGAACAGGAAAACTCTAAAACTGAACTTAATTGTTTCAGGTAATACTCAAGGGTTAATTAAGTGTCCATTTTTTCCTTGAAACTTTACTTTTCACCTTTTACTGGCTTGTTTATCTCGAAATGTCGTCTTCCTCCCCACATCAAGTTAAAGATTAACGAAACCAAGAACACTTCCACGAATGGTTTGATAAAGGCTGTGAAAAATCGCCTTATGCAGTACTTTTAGCTTTCTTCACCGGTCCTATCTCGTTTGAGAAATAATATACATACACCTCAACTATAAATTTTAATTTCATTTTATGATATGCCGGTAAGATTGTGTTTTAAAAATAACTCTATCATTTAGTTTTACAGAGGAAACGAATTACAGCAATCGGTTTGAATTCTGATTTTTTCCACCTCATTTTGTTGGTACACTGTTTATCTACATTTCATTATGCAAATAAATGTAAGATTTGGGCGTTTTAAAGAAAATCTAGCCTAACTCCCCGACCCCAAAATAGCACGAAATGAAACGTTATCAATCACTTTGAAATAAATCAACGCATTTGTTAAAAAAACAATTGCATTTATTCCTAAATAATGCCATTTTGTGGATACTACATTTGTTGATATGCTAATTTGTGAAACATTTCATTCATTGTTTATGAAGACAAACTTATCACCTGTATTGCATCACATTCTTGTTTTTATCGATATTTGCTTGATAATTTTTTCCCATAGGGTTCTATGTTCAAGTTACATAAAGGGTTCATCTGAATACAGTAAAATACTCTCAATGGAAACATAAATAACAGACAAATTCACTTTCCTATTTGTGTTATGTTTATTGTCGCATCCCAACTCATTTGGGTCCCCTAACAGTAGTTTATCCTCTGTGAGGTAACGGCATTATATGCACCTCTCTCACAAACTTCCAATTTTAAGGTTAACAGGCTTCGAAGGTGAACAAACATTAGCCTGTGAACAGGCTCTCTGTTTGGGGAAAATATAGCAAGGAAAGGGAAGGGAAAGTGGGGTATGTGACACGCTCACTGCTAACACTCAATATGATCATATCAAAAAATTACAAAAGTTCAGTGGAAAGGGGTAGAGAGAGGGAAAAAGGAGGGGGGGGAGAAGGGTGGGGGGGGGGGGGAAAGGGGGGGGGGGGGGGGGGGGGGGGGGGGGGGGGGGGGGGGGGGGGTAGAGAGAGCCTGTAGACAAACATTTGAGGCCACTATTCCGCCCTCTTGAAATTATCCTGCCGATCATCTGTCAGCCGGCAAGATCGTTATCTGTCAATCAATTTCGCGCGTGAGTAACTCCTGGGAAAATTAACGGGAAATGAGCCGTGTTTTGCTCCATCTGGAAACAGAGTGAAATGGACCGCGAGCCTAATTGTCGATTTTGCAAAAAGTCTTTGATCTCCGGTAAGAAAATTAATACGGTGCCGGTCTTTGGCGTTTTAAGAAATAAGACCTTGCTGGTTGACAGTGGCCAAGACAGCGTTGTATAGCGCAAGCATTTGAATCCTCAAGATTTCCCCCTGAGCAAGGAGAAAGCTTTTCTGATTTAAGCTGCTTAACTTGTGTGCGACGGGCCGTTCGTCTTGCTAGTTCAGTTTCTAATTTAACATCCTGCAATGAGCTAACTTGGAATGCGAAAGTTAAAGATACTATTATGACTTCTCCAGAACGTGAAGCTCCAAAGACAAGTACAAAGAGATCAGCACCGCTTCGATCGCCGACAGGAATTACACCTTTGGGTATTAATCCCGGGACTATTTATAGCAATAAAAGGGGGCGGTAGGCCTACACGAAGTTTACCTCATGCCAAAATGCTGCTTGTTCCCATAAGTTTTTCCCTCTGCTGGGTAAATTATGCCCTGGAAGGTTCTACATTTTCAGTGAGCAAATGTCTTGTTTCACACTGAGAGGTCATGGCACACCTATCAATTTACTGTGGTTTTTGTCTCTGGTCGGCAGGATTTGCCCTATGATGCAAGAGCATTTTCTTTGACCTCTTTTGAAGAGAAAAACTTTTTATTGCGGCTGAATAAGGGTCTTACTTTTCTCCAAAGCGCCTTTTGGATCTGAATAACTAAGCGATTTTCTTCAGTCCATGAATGTAATGTTTTTCTAAAATGCTGTATCACGCTGGGCCCAGCTCGTTAGTCTTCTTTGCAGAATGTTTGAAAATTATCACGGATAGTAATTTACAGATCCAATGTGCAGCTTAAAGCGAAGCTACATCAACTATGGAGAATTGCATTGTGACTCGATAAACTCCAGCTTAGTGTTTGTCTAAAGATAGAGCGAGTCTTTTGACTGGAGCGCATAGTTCCTCCCTTGGCAATAGCTTGTGAACAAGCGTAACAGTCTTTGGAGTGTTTTGTTATTGCCACTTTGTGATCTAATCGCGTGCTACGTGCCGACCAAAAAGCCGATGTCAATCAGACCTGTCAACAGTCAGTCTTCTGGCCAATAAGAACTTGCATCAGGATCTTATGCACAGCCAGCTGGTGCCGTGGAACGGCGGTCCCGAATGTTTGTCTACAGGCCTTTTTGCTTTTCCCTCTCCCTAGTTCCCCGCTCGACCAAAGGCCTGTTCACAGGCGAAACAAACATCATCAGATAGATTTATGGAGTAATGGCCACTCTCTGTTTTCATGCATCACTCCTGCTATTAAATAAAAATGAACAATGATACATCGATTGGCGGACACGTGAGCTGTTATTCAAGAGTCGCTTTAAACTAGTAACTTTTTATAGGAAATCTCCGTATCTTTTAGTCTTAAAATAATTATAAAAGTATTTTTCGTTTTTTGTATTATATAGCTGCAACTGTTTGTCTCTGATGTTATTGGTGGTGCGGTGGCTCCAAACTTGCGCGTGCGGCTGTATGTAACAATTCTCTACTGAGTGACAAAAAAGTTTGCCGAAGGACACATGCAACACAAGTAAACCTCAAAATTTAGGGTTGGAAAGACAATAAGAGTCACAGTTTTCCGTGTTATACACAAAAACGTCAAACAACTGCTCACGAAAAACAACTACTCATTAATCAATTAATTGACGACATACTCACGTCATATAGGTAATAGAAATTCGCGCAAGAGAAGAGACATCACCGCCTATACAATCAGAGAAAAACGGTTCTCTAGTGGCAGTTAAGTTAAAACCTCAGAAGTAGCACAAGCTAGCCTAAAATTGTAAGGATAGAGAGACATTTCGATTGATAGTTTTCCGCGTTAACACAAAAAACGCCAAAAAATTGTGCTCGAAAATAAGTACCACTCATTTATCAATCTATTGATGCCATACCCACGTCATATACGTAATTGTCAATTTATAGTATATATAACAATTATTCACCGAAGTGGAGGTGGCTAGTGGTGAATATTTACCGAACTGCGAAGCAGTGAGGTAAATATCCACGACTAGCCACCGACACTGAGGCTGCACTTGAGACGGCCGGATCGGTACTCAACCATAAATACCTTCCTTAATTTCCAGTGCGAAACTGCAAGGGAGGTTCCGTTACGGGGAATGTGAAGCATGCTGAACCTAGACACCTTCTCTTGGCAAGAGAGCCCGTGCATATATATATATTGTTTACTTTGTCAGCGCCTTGCCGTAAGGATCAGTTTGCCGTTTTATCTTTTTCTTTAGTGAAAAAAAATGGCGATGCACTATAGCGAACGAAGTAAGCAAGTTTTAGCTTGTTTTTAAACTTGGAATTATTTTGAAGGAATAATAAAACAATAATTGAATTTGACTTTTGTAGGATATGAAGAATTAAGCCGATCGAGGAAGGTGTTATCCCCCGAGGACTTGGGCCTCGGTGGATAACACCCTCCTCGATCGGCAGTATTCTTTATATCTATTGTTTGTTTGTTTTTTATTATCATTTTGCCATACACACAATATACATATAAAATTTAAAAAATATATGAGGCAAGGGAGTCCAAGGAAGCCAATAAGGCTTGTGTATAGGACCACCATTAAAATTATGTTATCTAATTAATAATTACAATACTTACATCGGCAATTTAACTCTAAGTAAAGTAAGTAAAGTAAAACTTTATGTACACAGGGTAGCCCATTCAGCTCTAAGGGTGGTCTCCATAGGGGCCCTGTAACTTAAAAAATTAATTATTTAAACTGTGTACGGTTGGACCAGCAAGATATAAAACAGTGTCGTCAGCGTACATATTTACAGAACACTGTTTGACACAACGTGGTAGATCATTAATGTAGACAATGAATAACAGGGGTCCGAGGATGGACCCCTGCGGCACTCCAGAAGTGGCGGCAAGCTCTTTAGATGACTGAGAATCAGTGCGCGCGAACTACTTTCTTCCCGTGAAGTAATTCTTCAACCATGGAAGGCTTTAATCGCATACACCGTAATACTCTAATTTGCTAAGTAAAATGCCATGGTCAACTGTGTCGAAAGCCTTTGCCAGGTCAATAAACACAGAACCAGTGACTAAGCACTTATCCATATTCATGAGAATCTCGTCGGCGAAATAGGTTACAGCCGTCTCAGTTGAGTGCATTCTTCTAAAACCGGATTGTGATTTACAGAGCAAGTTATGATCGTCAAAATAACTTGCAAGTTGCTTGTGGATTAAACGTTCTAGGACTTTAGCCAGTACCACTGGTAAAACGGATATGGGGCGGTAATTTCTTGGATCATCTTTTGTACCTGATTTCTGCAGAGGGGTCACCTTCGCTTTTTTCCATTCCGCAGGAATAACGTTTTGTTGGATAGTTCAATTAAAAATGACGGACAATGGAGAAGTCAGGGCGTCTGATCCGTCTTTAAGTAGACGAGATGGAATACCATCAACACCTGTAGCTTTCTTCGATTTTAATTCTTTAAGAGCCTTACGAACCTCCGATACAGTGATCTTTCGTAGTTTAAATTTTTCTGGACGATCAATATGAGGCAGCCATTTGAAAAATGATCGCGCGCTTGATCGATGGGTCGACCTTAAATCTTCCGCACAAGAGACAAAGAAGCGATTAAAAATGTTACTTGTCTTTCGCTTCATTTTCCATACGAGCAGCAGCGCCGCTACTCTTAGAGCCATTTTCAAGTAGTTGTTTTAGATTTTTCCAGGTCCCACGGGAATCTTCTTTTTTCTCCCGGAGCTGTTCATTGAAATATCTTTGTTTCTCTTCTCTGAGCTTCAAAGTCACGACATTGCGTAAGCGCTTGTAAGTGCTCCAGTGGAGTTCAATGAAGTACGCACAATTTGTTTGGACATAGAAAATAATCATTAAATAGGATAAAAATAGAAAAGGCTGAACGTGTAAGTGCAAAAACGAGAAAGAAAAGGTGAGAAAAAATAATGCAAGAATAAACGAGGAAAAAAGCGAAAGAAGCGAAATCTACACACAAGAATTAGGAGAGCTTAAGTATACTTATACCAAGAAAAAATGACTTAAGTTTAGAATTGAACAAAGCAATACTAGGGGCATTCTGAATTTCTGAGCTAAGGGAATAAAATATTTTGGGGCCCTTGAAAACGAAGTGAAATTTTCTTACATTTGTCTTGCAGTAGTGCAAACGGAAGGAATTCTTACTTGTTATATGAATGTACGTATATTTTCCCCCATCAGTTTTGATGTGTCCACGATATTGTCATGCAGCGGTTGCGCACATGCGCACGCAAATTGCCCTCCTGTTCGGCGTGAACTGTTCACTAACATGCCTAGACAAAAAATGATTTGGCGTTAAGGACACTTAACGCTCGCTGATAAATAAGCAAACTCTCCAAGCCTGTGGCAACTATGATTAGTTCTTCGTCGGTGACATCACTTCAACCAGAAGCCGGCTCCTACTGCTATCTACTCCTACATACGATTTTCTTCTTAGTTGCTCTAAACACCATCCCATTTGCCTCATCAATATGAGGAGCAGCCGGAAGGGAGGGGCTAAAATGCCATTCTATTTCCCTCCGTGGAGTCTTCCGGTGAATCATTTCTTTGTCGATTCACAAGTTCTTTACTGGTTCAGTGACTGTTACAACGAAGTCGTTTCCATTAATCATGAACAATGTTTTACGTCTCTTACTCAATTTAACATTTGAAGTGCCCGACAAATGAACAGTCTTTCTTTCTGTCGGATCTGTCTTATCTCATTTCGCCGAGGAAATCAGTCGGGAAAGTTTCTTTTTTTAGTTAAAACATGACGAGAGATAAGTCAAGTCAGTTTTCCTTCTCTTTCTTTTTAGAGCCAGTATGTGTAGTTTCTATCGCCGGACCGTACAGAAGAGGAAAGTCATTTGTCTTAAGCGAGGTGTTTGGTCAACCAGAAGTATTTCCTCTTGGACATAAGATGAAACCTGAAACCATGGGAATATGGCTTTGGATTGTGCCACGAGCATTTGAGGTTAATTGTTATTGTGGTAATTATATTGAATAAATACCATGCATGCATCATCATCATCATCATCATCATCATCATCATCATCATCATCATCTTCAGCATCATCATCAGCATCATCATCTTCTTCTTCTTCTTGTTGTTCTTCTTTATTGTTATTGTTGTTATTGTTATTGTTATTGTAATTATAGTGTTATTTTAATTATATTTGTATTATTACGATAGTCTCTATAAAAGCCAGATGAAAATTAATTCGTTCTATCTTTTATAGGATTCCACTGGCAGGGAATTCAAGGTGGTACTACTTGATACCGAGGGAACTGACGCTGTTACTTCTGAAAGTTATGATAACAGCCAGATTTTCACGTTGACGGTCTTACTGTCTTCGGTTTTGATCTACAACTCACAATGTGTTCCTACACGGGCAGATCGTGAAGGGCTAAAGTATCCTCTAAACTATTCATCTTTTTTCATTTTCCGAATTTATTTTCATTGCATTGGGCTGAAAAAAAATCATGTCCTATGATATTTCAGTTAACTTTAAAAGGCAGTAATTCAATCTTTATGAGGAGTTAAATTTCCTTCACTATTTTTCTAGCTATATCGCTAAACTCTCTCAGAGCATCGAGGGGCCATCAAAAACAAAAGCTGAAGCTGGAAAATCGCAGGAAGACTTGAAGTTTTTCTGTAAAACATTTCCTTTCCTCATATGGTTGCTACGAGACGACACTCTGGACCTACCATCAGATTGTAACAGCTACAAAGAGTACTTCCTGAAGGAGGTATACTTTATTTAAATTGTTGTGACTTTTTGATTAGGAATCGTTTTCAGCAACTGTGCATCATAAATTGCATTAGCCCTGACTCGAAAAATACTAACATCAATGCTGACAGGTAAATGGACGCATGGAAAAAGATAGTATAGTAACATTGTTTTCGTTTTTACCCTAGTAGAACTCCTATGTTTCTAGCTCTAGCAAATTACTCCCCACACGACAGGTCGTCGAAACGCTCGTCGCCTTAAAGAAGAACAAAAATGTTTTAGATCATAGGCCTACACTGGGACCTTAACTCGCCGCGAGATTGTGCGAGCTAATGCGAGTTTAGGCGAGGTAAGGGAAAATAAGGTAAAATTGACATTGACTATCAATTGCGAGTTTGTGTAAGTTAAGGGGAGTTAAGACGTGTTTGTGGAAAATGATCGACCTAATGTTGAGATGATAGGGGTTAAAACATATAATATACTTTAGTAACATACATATAAAGATGCCTTGCAATCTTTGTATGTTATATATATATATATATATATAACTTGCACAGAAGAGAATCGTCTTTCAACAAATAAAAACTTTATTCAGATTTATATATATATATATATAACTTCACAGAAGTTCAGGTTTCACGAGTAATCATCGTTTTATTGATACAGAACTGTTTCGTATGGTGCAAGGACCACACTCATCAGGCAATTTTGACGACTACACTGTTGGAATTGGAAGGCTGGCAGTTAAATGCGAAAATTTAAATGGTTGCTATGGTAGATGCGTTACATTCAGGTTATATGAAACTGTTGAAAGGGTTGCTAGGTAACAAAAACGTTATATAACAGGGATTATCTGTCGTTATAAAAAATGTGATATAAGCGGGTTTTAAGCTACGTTACTCTAAAGTTTCCAAGTACATATCGATTTCTGTGGGGGACATGAATATTTTTGTAGGGTTTACTCGTGAAACCTGAACTTCTGTGAAGTTATAGCTGATGCTCCTCAATCAATTGAGTCGAGCGCTCTACGAATTTATATATATATATATATATATATATAGTAGGCTTTATTTTGCCCAATTACGAAAAAATTGAACGAAAAATTTCAGATGAGCTCCAAAGGTGAATGAAGCCAAATCTTATTTAAATTTAGTGACTGAATTATTTTCCTGTTAATTATATAGCATTAAGTCACCAAACTATACCATTTGGTGGCTGTATCATGATATTAATCATCATCATCATTGTCATATATAAGCGGGCTCCCACGCGCGCTTCAGGCGCTTGGGACAGAGCCCCATTACTCATAGAATATAGTCAACCTCTTTTTGTTTGGTTGCCACGTGATACGTCTACAGATCATACGAGTTGGGTAGGGGAGACTATCAAAAGGAAGGGAGGGGTGTATCAGGCGTGTCTTGGGAAGTCCATACCTTTTATATTAGACATTCACAATATGGTCAGTTAACAGCTGTCAAAACAGGATGGCCACTGACCAGTATCACATGACCATATCGCGGGCTCATGTGTCAATTCATCGAGGTGACGTGATTTATTTGAAAGCTGTCGGCTGACCAGTTAATTGTTTTACTAGATCGCGACCAATCTGATATTTTCTAGCTAGTTTAGGAGCACAGGAAAACTGATAATGCACACATATTGGACATCAATGTTGTGATCAATTGACAGCTGCTAAAACAGGGTATCCACTGACCAGTATCACTTGACCGTATCGCAGGCTCAGGTGTCGACCCATCTAGGTCAAGTATTTTTTTGAAGTTATTTGCTGACAAGTTACTAGTTTTCAAATGATCGCAGGCTCAAGTTTAATTTTTGTTTATTCATATGAAATATGTTGTGCCGCACAATTAAAATTTTGATTTCAAACCGAAAATTCAGCCAGCTATTACAGGCAGGGAAACCATGCTTTTGACTTTGTTCACCATGGTCACGCGTTGGTTAAGCTCTTCGTCCAATTTTTATGCTCTGATTGGTCAAAATGTGAAAGGTGAGTTCATGCGGAAAATTTATGCAGCATCTTGAATCTTGTTTACTTTGACAGCTGAAGCTGAAAGCGTTTGAGTCAACTTGTGATGTTTTTAACTGTCTTTTTCCACTGGATATACAAAATGAAATTCAGCTGCTATCAGAAATCTTCTGTTATTCATGGCTAGTTTGTTTTTTGGGTTTTTGATTGAGAAATACGTCACTTGTCAAAGACCGAAATCCGATTTCGGATGGCATCGTTTTCGTTTTCACCTTGCTCGATGCGTAAGAGTATTGCAAAGTCTGAAGCGATACTGGCCTTACTTGATACCTTTCAGGAGCTGCATCTCGAATGGTAAGCCTGAGTAATTATTGTATTTGATGTTTGTTTTTTATATCTAATTTAATAAAGTCGAGCGTAGTTTATCTGGTTATTTAGTTTATGCACGTTTGTAAGATGTGAGACAATGATATGACTAAGTATCAGGTTAGTAGTTGTGAAATGAGAGTCTTAGCGCATTTTGACCACTCCCCCAAAAAATCCGGACCACTTTTAGGCATGCTCAAAATGCGCTAAAACTCTCATTTTACAACTACTCCACATCCACGTGGCACTCCTTGCATTACGTCTAAAACCTTTTGCCCCATGAGACAATTCGCCCCCAAATGCAATCCTCACGTATTTGCCTCATTTCTTGTCAGTAGATAACCCTTGGCCTGGTGAATGATGCCCCACCCGTACGTCACTCCCATTCAAAGTTAGGAACTGTCAAACATTTGCGTCACGGACCACACCGCCAAAAATGCTCTATAACTCTCCTTTCCAACTACTCTACTTTCACGTGCCCAGCGGATTTCCCAGCTGGAAAAAGTAATTTTTATTTTCCTGTCCACAACGGACAGGAAAAACTTCAAAGTTTTTTTCAAAAAGCTTATTTTTTTTGTCTACTACATAAAAAATGGACAACATGGAAATTCCCGAATTAAGTAAGGAAGCGAAACGGCTCGGGCTCAGAAGCTATTCGAGACTGAGAAAGCAGGAGTTGATTGAGAAGATACAGCGGGACTGGCTGCTGAAAAGCGAACGGCTTCCGATATTCTTGATGAAGAAATTCCGATGGACTTCGATAAACCAGTTCTCAACCCCTAAAAAATACGTAAGGGTTCCGGAAATCCAAATAACAGATACCGAAAAAGAAAAACAAGAAAAGGAAAGCAGAGAAATCGAGGAGATGCTTGGATTGAGGGGCGGAGCACGGGATCACAGCCCCGCCGGAGGCCGTTTACCAAAAATAAAAATACCAAATCCCGAGGAAGCCGAGCGCGAAAGAAAAATCAAAGAGATAAACAGAAACCGCCCCAGATTTCAAATGGTGGAAACAGCCAGCGTATTGGGAGGTACGAGGAGACAATTTACAATTACAAGCAAAGAACAAGGTTTTGGTCCCAGGGATTTTATGCAAAGAGCGAAACCGTTAGTCTTGAGGTTGATGAGAGAAAATCGCCAGAAAACGATTAATTTGATTTTGAATTGTGAAATGATTAGGCAAAACTTAATCAACGGAAACAACGAGAGAATTATGGCACATTCTCATACCAGGACGACCGTGTATTCCCACTTACCACAGTTGAGCCAAAAAAATGTGAATTGAAGCGAGAGAATTGGCGAGGCGGAAAATATAAAATTGATATTTTAAAAAAAAAGCTTAAAGAAATCATAACATATATCAAAATGAGAATTAATTCAGCAGCGCAAAACAAAAACAAACAATCACAAGGTTATAAAGTTAATGGCCTTATGTTTCCTTCAACAGAAAATTTTTGCAAGTTAATGACTATTGATTACAATTTTGAATCAATTGTTGAAAATGCATCGAGTGATTATTTTGACAACATACCAAAAATAAAAGTAATTGAAACGTATCCAGATGCTTGTGAAGAGCTTGATGGATTGTTTAGAAATGCAACAGGATGTTTGATGTATGAAGATGAAGAAACTTCAGATTATCATATAAAATTTTACAAAGCCGTACAAAAGATTTTAATAGAATAAAAATTGTTCAATGTTAGTCTTATATTAATGTTTGATATAAGACTTTCTTTATTGCCGCTTGAAAATATGAGTCAGAAAAAATAAAATAAAATTTAAAAGATTGTTATCTAATCATCGAGTAAGATGCCCGTTGATTTACACAATCTAGCAATTGAAGATTTAAAAAAGATTAAAAAAGATAGACCAAAAAACTCAAGAGAGAGTTTGCGCAATACAAACAACATCAAGAAAAACAAAAGCTTATTGCTGATACATTGAAGATAGAAAATCAAAGAGATAATATTTTTAAAGCAATAACTAAACCAACAAAACCCCGTGTTAAAACATTTGATGAGTATTTTCAGGAATGTATTAGAAACAAAGCAGTTCCTGCTGATACTCCTCCCTATCTGAAAAAAGCTCTTGAGCGAGCTCTTAAAGAATATCAACAAGGAATCACTAAAGAGAAATCAGCTCTTGAAGATTTTGCTTAAAAATATACTATCGATGGAGAACCAGGAGTTATGCCTATTCAATGATTTCAAAGATAAAGCCCCTCAGATTTAAGACTTTTTCCGAAGTCATCGCAATATTAAAGTTCGGTTTGTACTAGTTTGTCTCATGGAGAAACAACAAATTGATGAAAGAAAAAAAACCATTATTACACAGGATAAAGCTTATTTTCAATGAAAGAAATATAGTGATCTTGAAGCAACAGATGTGAAAGAAATACTTTCAAAAATGATTTACGAGATTCTCAATAAAACTGCTACTTATCAGCGAAACGGTAGCGCTTGGTATTTTAAAGAAGTACTCAAGCCTGAAATTCACACTGTCGATTACAAACCAATGAGAGGGTTTTCTTACATTCCACTTCCGGATTTTATTCTAAGAAAAAAGGCGATTGTTAACATTCAAAACAAAGACCAAAAATGTTTTCTTTGGTCAGTTCTTAGATACCTTCATCCAATGGATAAAAATGAAATTCGACTAAAAGATTTGAGACAATATGAAAATGAATTGAATATGAAAGATATTGATTTTCCAGTCAAATTAAAAGACATCAGCAAGTTTCAAAATCAAAACCCATCACATCCAGGAATTGATGTCTTTTCAATAAATGAAAACAACAAGTTTTACCCCTTGAGAATAAATAAAAAAGATTGTCAAAAATCAATTGACCTGTTTCTTTTTGAAAAGGATGGAAAATCTCATTAGTTACAGTCTGTAGTTATTTATAACAACACTTTTTCATGATTGTTAAGTCTCAAATAACTTCAAGAGCAAATGGCTCAATTTTTATTTGCAAAAAATGCGTTACTCATTTCCCAAAACAAGAAATATTTGAAAAACATATTTCATATTGCTCAAACAATGAAACACTTGCTGTCAAAATGTCCGCCGGACACAATACTGAAATTTGAATATCACGACAAACAACTCCCAATCCCTTTTGTTGTTTACGCTCATTTTGAATTTTTTACCAAACCAATAAATACTTGCAACCCTGACCCAAATGAACCTTGCACATACACGAGCCATCAGGATTTTGTCTTTATCGCAAAGGATTAGACGGAATTAACCGACTATTTCATCCTATCATTTATACAAAACAATCGGATGAAGAAGATATTACAAAAATATTTGTTTCCAAACTTGAAGGAATAACACATAAGATTTAAAACGATTTACAACGATCTCAGGTTATCAAAACAAGAGAAAGAAGAATTTGATAAAGCGGAGAATTGCCATGTTTGCAATGAAAAATTGTGTGAGGAAGATTTATCTGGAAAATTAGTTAAAATTAAAGATCATTTCCACTTTACTGGAAACTATCGTGGTGCAGCTCATAGCTCTTGCAATCTTCAATGTCGAAAGCCAATGGTTCTTCCAGTCATACTTCATAATCTTCAGGGGTATGATGCACATCTTTTTATTAAACAACTTGCCAGACTCAAAGGTGGATTGAGCTGCATTCCTTCAACAGAGGAGAAATATATTTCGTTTTCCAAGAAGATAAAAGTCAACGAATACAGATCACTGAACAAAAAATGGTGAAATAGTTTCAATTAATTGTGAAATCCGGTTTATTAACTCTTTCAAGTTTCTTCAAACATTTCTTGCTAATCTTGTTTCAAATCTTCAACCGTCTGATTTCAAAAACACAAAGGCCATCATTAAAGATAATTTCGGGCTTCTCACACAAAAGGGAGTTTATCCTTACGATTATGTTTCTTCAATCGGACGCTTCTCTGAAACACAACTCCCTCCCAAATCAGAGTTTTATTCAATTGAATGATCAGCGATTCTGATTACCAACACGCGCTTAATGTTTGGAATGCCTTCAATTGTAAAACTATTCGTGATTATCGCGACCTTTATCTCAAGTCTGATCTTCTCATGCTTGTGGATGTATTTGAAAACTTTCGCAAAACTTGTCTTACGCATTAAAAACTTGACCCTACGCATTATTACACATCTCCAGGTCATGCTTGGGATGCATGTCTCAAAGAAACAGGTCAAAAATTACAACTTCTTCACGATTATGATATGTTAAGGTGTTTCGATACAGTTTTTCAGAGGCGATACCGATATTTTTCAATCGCCTTAAAAGTGGTTTTTTTCTTGTCCGAGCGCTATAAAATTTTCACTAGTAATTGGCTATGGATTAAAATTTGTGAAAATGTAGTTTTAAGTAAAATCGATATTACTATGACAACAATAAACAAAAAACTTTGAAATTGATAAAAGCCGAATTTTCTGCGATCTAGACCTGCTACTGAAAGCCCAACACTAGGAACTTAAAGTTTGGTGTTTAGCAAACAATCTCCGTAAGAAGTAAAAAAATTCTGTATGTTTGAATTCGACTAAAACTAAAATATATTTCAAACCTTAAATGTTCAATAGCCGTGATATATTATTGAATATATAACAATTATTCACCGAAGTGGAGGTGGCTAGTCGTGAATATTTACCGAACTGCGAAGTAGTGAGGTAAATATCCACGACTAGCCACCGACACTGAGGTGAATAATTGTTTTAGTATATACTAAAACAGTGAGATAATTGAGCACAAAAATGATGATTTTTAACTCAAATACTGTTGCCAACGATTACAATTTTGGCGCGTAATGACCAGGCGGCCGCGGCCGTCGCTTTTTCTTGCCGACAATTACAACTTTTGAAGGCATTTGTTTAGCTCTTGCGGGGAAATTTCTTCAAAAGGAGTTGTGAATTCTTTTTGTATTTAAATCATTCTATCAAAAAAGATTATTAAATTTAGTTTTAAGCTTATTTATGAACAACTCAACTAAATAAAGTAACCCAAGACTTAAACTTAATTTGCATCCGTAAACAAAAAACTTTTTCACCGTTTTTGTCGATAAATTCGTGTCAAAAAGACAAAGCTTCCAATTCGAACTTCGTCACCTTCTTCGTGTATTTCGGAAACAGCTTGCTTGATTAGTTGTGAAATTTCTTTGTTTGTTTACGGCAGCAAACCGGGAAGGCATTTTGCTCGCAACTTACGCGAGTTTGGCGTCGCTCGCTCGGAGGAACTGGAGGTGAATCAGTGAATAGTGCAGGATATTCACTGATTGAGTAGCCAATCAGACCGCGCGAAAAACACTATCCACTGTTTTAGTATATACTAAATAGATTTAGCCAGGGCTAAAAGTGAAGCTCCCATTAATAAATTTCCTATTTAAAGCAAACAATAAACTTGTATTCAAGCGCATATTAATGTGACTTTTGAGGGAAAGGCTAAGTGATTGTAGAGTGAAACAAATCTTTTATCGAGCTGACAGCCTTATATGTACACCCAAAAAATAGTCTTCGGTCACTTTTAAGAGCAATAATGGCTTTTGGTCACAGTAGATTAAGCGTGGAAAACAAATCAATTATTGGAAAACAAATCAGGCCGAATTTTTTGCGTTCGACAAGTTTACTTTACAAAATCTTGCCAACAAATCTGGGTGCGTGCAAACCAACCTTTTATACTTTTTATACATCGCATCTGAGGAGAAAGATTACTATGAGGCGCTGTTTTTATCATGCAGACCTCGTACAAACTGCAGTAGTTCACAATTTCTCAAGACAAATTGCATTCACTCAATATTCAGGACCATCAAAGCACGCGTGGACTTTAAGCGAAACCGTTCAAAATATTTCCAAAATCACCTATAAGGCCAGCCGGTTCTAACTTTTGACAAGCGCCAAATTGGCAAGACGTTTTAAAAGAGTTACGCTTCAACATAACAAAGGGTTTATTTTTTTTTTGGGCGTGGCCCAAATAGACTAATGGAGACAGCTTGTTTTGACGCAAATGTGCAATAGGCACGCAATACGTGCTAACGTAAACAAGGCACGTAAACAAGCGAAGCGAGGCGAATGTCTGTCATGTAAACGTCTCGTACAAGGTAAGAGGCATGTGGAAAAAAAGCTCTGCTAACACACGGCATTTTATCGCACTTTTACGATCTCATAAGTTAATCTGAATCTTCAGTATTTTTGCTTCATCGAAATTTGGAAGTCTGACGTCCAGGGATGAAATCTTTCAAAAACATTTGGAATATTAACATCGGGTTTTGGTCACAATAAGATCACAAGCAACGAACCTTGACTCACAAAACGGATCGAAATCCACCAATCACAAATCACAAACAACGACCTTTTGAACCCGTTGAAGTAAACTTTCGTTTCCTAAGAGGTCCGCTAAGATGATTGGCGTCTGACATTTTTTTGACGAGAGGATCGAAATGCACCAATCATAGAAAGACAGGTTTAATTGCATGTTTCCTAATAGGTAATCTGAATTTGCTGTTTTCTTTATTTTTTGTCCATTTTCTTTTCCTTATTTTGTGATTGGTCGATTTTGTTAGGTCGAGTGGATAATCCATGAGGGACGGTTTGGATATCGCTTGATCGGAAATTTTTTGAAGCAGCAGTAAGAAGCAGTTTGGATAACATTTGGCCGCGGCTTTTCGAGGAACGTGTTAATATATTGTTCAATTATGTTATCCCGGGTTAAACTTACAAATGCACACACTGTTCGCGGTAGGCCTGCACTAAAAAATACCACTGAGTGTTTTCGGAATGGGCTGGTCCGCGAACACAAAGAATAGCAAAGGAAATTATCAAGACATTCAACGACATTAAAGACTCATGGACCCCATAGACGCAATGACAAATCGGAAAGTCAGGAGTGTACGTGTAAAATGGATAAGAGTTTGAACAGAGGAAAGTTTAACAAGTTTGAGAGTCGCAACATTTGTGTAGCTGATTATCAGTGTGACAATAGTGATTTTGATTTTTGCATTGCGGAACACAACGAGTTACCTGTGATAAAAATCTGTTCCGATGAAGAAGAGACGATTGTCAACAATTGAGACCAAAGGGGACTGAGGCTTCTTTTGGAACTATTGTGATATCTGCAACAATTCTTTTTATTATTTCAATTTGGTTTAGCAGGGTGACGGTTAATGTACTTGTTTTTGTATTGCGTGTTGTGGTTTTTCATCTAATTGTGTATATTGTGACGAGGTACATGTACGATGCTGTGCGTCGGGATTTTGCATTATCAGCAAGTTTTGTGTTAGAGTGTTTTGATGACAGCGAGGTGACGACAAAGAGAAGGTAATGAGCTAGTTGTGCAGAAGGAAAAATGTGTTGTAGGGGAAGTAAAAGAGTTAAATTGAGATCTCGTTGCGGGAAATTTATTTATAACAGAACTTACAATTCATGTTAGTCATTTCTCTCAACGCCGTCATGCACCTAGCAGACTACCGATGAGCAAATTAGCATCTTTGGTACAGAAAACACGGAAAGTGGCACTTTTTGTTTGCAAGAGTATTCGGAAAAATACACCATTGTCGTCTGAAATTCATTGTTACGTTAAAAAAAGAAAATGTTGACTCTTAAACAGGTGAAATAACTGTAACAGTGTGAGGTTTTTACTTAAAAGGCAACTCAAAAACTAGTTCGTAAAACGAGGGAAGATGTATCTGTCGTCTAAGCATCAAAGCACAGGCGATTTAGGTGGAATGAGATATCCAAATAGGCTTTTAAGTAAGAATTTGCCCCTCTGTACATGCAATTACCCACTTTATAGTGCTTACAACAATTTGAATCCTCGGGTTAAATTTGGCCAATTTAATCTCTGTACTGATATCGAGAAGAATCCAGGACCTTCCGTTTATGTAGATGCTACAAAAACAATTCATGCTCCATACTGCCAAGGAAACGTGCGTTACAGTATTTGGGGAAAATGCTGGACAACAATGTG